TTGCCAGACTGCAAACGTCTAGAACCATGTGCCAAAATAAATCTTTTAATAAGGTAACTGCCTGGGCCTTAGAGTAAAGCAATGATAACTGAATAATGTGTAAATGAGATTAAAACAAGCTTTTAAAATATGAAGTTGAGACACTAATCTTTTTTTTTTTTTTTTTTTTTTTTTTTTCGGAACCGGGGATTGAACTCAGATCCTTGTGTTTGCCAGTCAAGCGCTTATCCTACTGAGCCATCTCCTCAGCCCCACTAATCTATTTTTATAAATCCTTTTTTGTGCCCATATTTGGGTGCTATGATTTATATGTGACAATGACATTGTAATATGAAACATTAAATTTATTATATAGACCAATGTTGGTTCCTTCATAAATAAAAAAAAATTGATTGTTAACTAAAGTAATGAGAAAAACATAGGTTTTTTTTCTATATTTTTGTAAAGATCAAATTTTAAGGGGCTAGGGAGATAGCTCAGCAGTGTAAGTGCCTGCCTGGCAAGCACACAGTACTGAATTCAATCCCCAGTATTCCAAAAAAAGAAGAAGAAAAAAAAAGGACCAAATTTTAAATAATAGGATTTTTTTCTTTCTTTTCACAATTGTCTTAAACTACTTGAGAAAATAGTAATGTTATATCATTTGTAGTTGTTTCTCTTCAATATTACTGATGAATTCTGCCTCTGAATAAAGCATACATGCCACGGTCCTAAGTACTTTGCAGTAGTGCTGAGCTAAAAAACATCTTCCACATTCTTAACCACTTACCAGTCAAATAATTTAAATACAGGTTGACCAAAAATTGCTTATTCTTCATAAATTTTTATAAGACAACATGAAATATAAAATGACAATTTTATTCAATACAAGAATCAACTGGTTGAAATGACACCTGTCCAAGCAATGCTCAAGAGTCAGTGCAAAAATGACAGCACTGCCCACGTGACACTTGGGGTACACATGCAGTTAACCTTTGCTTTTGAAAATGAATTAAATATGTTGTCATTAACCAGTGAGGGCACTAGCTCATTCCTGTACAGTCTCAATCTGTATACGTTTTTCTGTGTGTGTTAAGATAAATTACATTGGAAACATTAAAACACTGTACTTCCTTGTGGGATCAGGAAATAAAATTTAAGGCTGGAAAAACTTAGAAACTTGTACAAAAGAAAAGACCAAGTCCTTTTTGACGCAGTGTACTATGAAAATGTGCCTTTCTCTCACACATCACTAAAACAGCAGAATTTTCTGAGGCTTTTGAATACACATCTGTCAAAAGGAAGGAAATCTCTTGTTCCCATAGTGGTGTCTAGTCTGCCTGTCCTCAAAGACCAGAGGAAACTTTTTTTTTCTTCAGATAGATGTACCATATCCAGGACTCATTTGTCATCTCTCAAACTGGGCTAAAGCCACCTCTTCCTTGTTGTGTGGAGTCCGAGGTTTTTAAGAGGAAGAGCACTAGTTCTCATCTTTGGGTGAACATCAAATTACTTGTGGCAATTCTAAGTACTGTATACCGAATTAGAATCCCCAAGTCTTTGTTCTGTAAGTCACACAGATCATTATGTTGTGCAGAGATAAGAAGCACTGCGGTAGGTAATAGTGCACTACTTCACAGAACAAGGCTTACAGAGAAAATAGGGACACAAATCCAGAGTGTTACCTTGTATTCTGGCAGTATGGTAATTGAGCCATTGTGGAGTTTGGGGATGGGCAGTTCATTTGTTATCCCTAAATACACTTTTCTGTTCCCCTTTGATTTTTAGTTTTTATAGGAAGTAAGTTTGTAAATGAAAAGGATACTCATCAAGGTGCTTCAGGAAACCCTGTTGGAAATAGGAACAGGAAGACAAGATTGTCTGTGAACCTGCGAACTCAGCCTTAGGAGCCGAGATGTTGTAGAGTGTAGGAGGGTAAGGTAAAAATAAGAAAATAAAGATCATGGCTGTCTTCACTGCCTTTCTATGTCTGAAGGTTTCTCTGTTGGATAAAATAGAAAATCTAATAAGAAAAAAATTGTATGTGCTAACTTTTAAAATGACAAGTGACTAAGATTATACAGTTCCAAATATAGGACTGTGATTTGGAACTAGAGGCATCCAGACTCCTGTGTCTCTATTATAGAAGTCTGAAAATTTTACAGTAATTTGTCAAAAATAAAGGTTCTAAAATAACCTCGGACTGGGAAAAAAAATCTTCGCATAAGACATGTGATAAAGGACTGTTATCTAAAACAGAGCTTTCACAGCAGGAAAACAACCCAAAAAACCTAAACAGACATGAAAGATACACATCTTACGTCATCAGGGAAATACAAATTAAAACAACATCAAGAGCACTACAGACCTACTAGAATGGCCAGAATGGGGAATGCAGACACCACCAGATGCTGATGGGGATGTAGCAAAAGGACCCTCACTCTTGCTGGGATGCAAAATTCCATGGACACCTCAGAAAACAGTTCGGCAGTTTCTAAATATAAATATCGTCTATTGTTTTACCATACAAATAGCAGTTATACTTCTTGGCATTTGCCCAAAGAAGTTGAAAACTTATGTCCACAAAAAGTTAACTGGCTGGTTGTTATAGAAGCTCTTCGTGGTCCTCATTGCCTGTACATTTGGAATACCAAAGGAAAGTTACTGGAATTTTAGCAAGTTAATTCCAACCTACTACTTCCAGTGCAACCCACAGCATAGAGATAGTTATATGTTCACGATGATGGGGAGATAGGGAGGTCCAAAATCCAGCTGGATGAGGGCTAACCAGAACAAAGGCTATGACCCAGGTCAGAACCCAGGTTTTAGTTCTGTAAGAGGGGAGTGGCTCAGGGATAAGTGATTGTAGCTGTGGTAAGAAGTGCCGTGAGCTGGGCTAGGTAGGAGGCCTGAAATCACCTCTGCAATATGCAGAAAGAGTAATCTGCATACCACAATTTGAGGCAATATCTAATGTTTTGGGGCAGGTGCTTGGCTCTGATGTGTAACTTTTTATGCCCTGAGATGTCAGGGCCTCTTACTTGAGGCTCAATCCCAGGGACTGTGGAGTACGACTCTCCCTCCCCCCTGTTCACATGCCTCTTGGGAGCTCCGTGGTGGGGCAACACATCAGCACCTAGCTGAACTGATTTGCATTGTTTAAAGCCAACTGACAAGGTAAAGTCCTAGCCAGCTCTGAACACAGCAATGCGTAAAAGGGCCAGGTTTAGCCAAAATAGAGATAACTGGTCTTCTTTCAAGGAGAGTGACCCAGGCATCCAGGGGGTCCTCCACAGGTGGTAGCAGCTTTATTCATAATGGCCCAAACTTGGAAGCAACCAAATTATTCTTCACTAAATAACTGAAATAAACTATGGTACACTATGGAATATTACTCAGTACTAAAAAAAAAAAAAAAAAAAAGCTGTCAAGTCATAAGGCATGAGGGAACCTGAAATGCATAGCCCTTAATTATAAAAACTAATATGTAAAGGCTACCATACTGTAAGTGACCAATGTCATAACCTTTAGGAAACTACAGACAGTAGCTGCCAGGGGAGGGATAATCAGGTGGAACACATGGGATTTTTAGGGCAGTCAAACCATTCTGTAGGACACTTCAATGCTAGATAGAGGCCATTCTACATGTATCCAGACCCAAAGCATATACAACGCTGGCAGAGCATGCTCTTGGAAACAGCGGGCTTCAAGTGATGATGACGTCGGGGCGGGCTGGCCAATCAGAACACAGATCTCTCGGGATGGAGGCTGAGACAAAATGTGCACATGTAGGCGCAAGAAGTGGCAAATTTCTGTATGTTGCGCTCAGTGTTATTGTAAAATTAAAACTGCTCTTAAAATGTCTTAAAAGTAACCTCATGGATAAAAAGCAGCAGTATGAATAGTGATTGCGTTTTTTATAAATGATTTGTTTCAGTAGGTTTAATGAAACTAACTGAAGAACAGCTTTAAAAACAAATGTACAGGGTCGGCCTGATAGTTCAGCAGACTAAAGCGTCGGCTTAGGCAGCGCACAGGGACCGGGGTTCGATTCCTGGCATGCCGTGTTGGCCTCGGCTGCGGGGCTCCTTGAGATGGCAATTAAAACTGGATGTGGTGGCACTTGCCTGTAATCCCAGCGCTTGGGAGGCTGAAAATGGGCGGATCACTAGGAGTCTAATCTACATAGTGAGACCCTATAGACCTTGTCCTAAATACAGAAAAAAAAAAAAAAAAAAAAAAACCTGAAATGTACAGTTTATTAAATGGGCATATATGACATGAAGTCTCATAATTTTGCTTTTTAGAGATTGAAAAAAAAACACATTTGTTTTATTAGGTGCAAATGAGCAACTTTATTATCAAATAGTTCAGCATCAGAACAAGATTTCTCATTCTAAAAGGTTTTCTTCATATAGCATCATACTGGGATACAATGTCAGAAGAATCAGACACCACTTCCCATTCCAGTTTCTCCTTTACAATTGGGAAATTGTTTTGGTCTAAAAAGTATAAATATCACTGTCTTGTTAATGCCGTCTATGAAATGCATCATTTCCTTTTCATCTAGTACAATTACGCTAGTGCCAGGTTAAGTGACCTGTTTTATAGTGACATAAAAGTCAACTACAAGAAACACAATCATTATTACTTACAGAAGCAAATTCTCTTTAACACAAAGAAATATGTACAATTATGTAAGGCAGATGAGCCCAGAAATCACCTTCATTCAGAGATACTATTTCAGTAATCCCAGATGAGAAATTAATGACCCAGAATAAACTGAAAATTAAAATTAGCCCTTGAGCCTTTGATAGTTTGTGAATTCTAATCAACCCTCTAAGTCGGGTGATGAACCTACAAGACCCATGCCACAGCAGTCTGTTTGTCATCACTGAAAGCTCTAAAACATTCATCATCACTGCACTAAATTAGTCACGTTTTTTCAGAATGATGGATGTATCAAAAGAACATGAACCTCAGTCCTTCTAGGTTGTTTTCAATTTGCGGAAATTTTTCCTTCATCCAGTACTCCACACAGAAATCTGTTCTCAAGCCACCCTTAATATTTACAATGCATTACTCGAGTGCCTACTATATCCAAGGCACTGTGCTGGATCCAGAGATGTAGCGGTGACAGCAATGCTGATCTAGCCTTACAGTATCAGCCAGCTGAGCAATGGAACATTTGGCCAGAATGGCACCGGCCAAAATACCAATGGACCAAAGCTATCCAAATTAAGTGACTGAAAAGAAAAAAATGGTAAATATGATAAGACATTTGCATAGTTTTCTGTAACACAGCCACATCTTTTTTTTTTTATTTTTTGGGGTACCAGGGATTGAACTCAGGACCTTGCGCTTGCCAGGCAGGCGCTTATGCCACTGAGCTATCTCCCTCACACAGCCACATCTGATCAGATCATTCAGTGTTTTCTATGTAAACTGCATTTCAGCAGATGAGAGAAGACTAGCTATTATCCTCTTGACATAACACAAACATTCAGCCAAATGTAGTGCATCATAAATATTGCTAAGGAGAATTATTCATCACCAGCTTTTCTACAGGGGATACAGAAAGTCACAAAAACTTTATCCTTTTGTGCAGGTGAAGATCAATTTTTAAATGCTCCAACTCTACTGGCTTTGCTGATGAAGTTCTTCAGGAGGTCATGGTCCATTTCTGCAAAGCCTGAAGTTTGTGTTACAACAGTCAGATGGTTTATGCAAAATCTGAAGCAGAATTCTTCTAAATCCTAAGAAAATAACAATGGTTTAATAAATTTGCATTTTCCACTTCAATGTTCCACAGCATGAGACTTCTTCAAACAGGGAAAAATGATTTCATAGCCATTTTGAGGAATGGTTGGTACAGCAATATGTAAAGAATAATCATAAAAACTATGTAACTAACACGAGCCCATGTCTCTAGAAATTTAAGTAACTATAAAACATTCAAGTTCCCTTCCACCAGCCAGTGCAAAGAATCCACTGGGTTTTTTTTTTTCCAGAGACAGGTACCTAACCTATGAATTCTTCAGTACCTTTTCCAAGTCACAGTACTTACACTATTCATTGTACTTTCAATATTTGTTAAAAACACAATACCCTTTTATGTTTCTTTGGGTTCTTTAAATATTTCTGCCTTTAACACCTTATAGAAGAAAATGAACAAGCCATAAAAAATAGTAAGGCTGGGAAACTGCCTCTCTTAATTCATTAACATTTCAATTGCTTAAAATTTTAGCAATAATGTTAATAATATTAATAATATTCATTCATTACTATTATTTTTTAAATTTTCCTTTGTAAGAAGATAAAGGTGCTATGGACACAGTTCATCATACTACTCATTTCTTCAACTATATAAATGGTAAAAGCTCAATGGTTTAGGCCTACCAGGTTTATTTTTAACTTTTTTTTTAAACGTGAATGGTTTATTTATTTATTTGTGTGTGTGTGTGTGTGTGTGTGTGTGTGTGTGTGTGTATGGCCAGCTCAGCCCAACAGGGGGCGGGGCTGGCTGGCATGTGGTGCTGGGGGATTGAACCGTGGTCCCTGTGCTTCGCTAAGCTTGTTCTAAGTAGGTGCTTTAGACCACTGAGCCATCTCACCAGCCCCTATTTTTAACTTTTTTCTCTGGAAAAAAATGAGGCCATATTTTGCTGAGTTCACACACCTATAATATTTAAATGATGGAATTAAACAAAAAAAGGGGATATAGATGAATGACCATTTTGTATCTGTGTATTCAAAATGGTTAAGATAGATATATAGCTACATTCTCTGAATTCAAGGAATAGAGGGATTTGTTCTAATAGTGTTTGTAAATAGGATATCATTTCTGCATCTTGTACAACAAACAACCACTAGGAAGGCAGTATGCAATGTGTTAATTATTGGAACTGTCCTACTAATTTGATTTGAAACTGTCTCATTGGTATTTATTTCTCAATAAAATTATGGGAAAAAATAAATTAAAAAAAAATAATTTTTTAAAAAAGTGAAGCCAGCCTCTGAGACCTCTGATAAGTCTCAGACCCCAACTGCGCTGACATCTGCACCAGCATAAGGTACTGCATGGTGGTGGTCAATTTTCTTTTTTATGTTGCTGAAACTAATTTATAAAACCAACCAAATACATACACGCACACACATTGTATATCTCAGTTTTCTTCAGACCCATACAGATGATAGCAAGTGTTGAAGACAAAACTAAAAACAATCAGCAATGAAGAAGAAAAATTAGCTGTTCTGATGACCATGCCAATGTAGACACAAACCTGCAGTACATTTCCCTTTAAGAAAAGAAACACAGTAGGTAAGGAAATGCAATCCCTGAACACAGCCAAGCAGGCTGCTGAGGTCAGACTGGTAGTGTGACATATTTCAGTCCCAGGTAAGCCCTCAGGAGTTAAAAATGACAAAGACAGGAAAATTCACATACCCAAACTTATAGCATGTTACTAAAAATGTGCTTCACTGATACATACTAAATATCATAACACTCACTTAAAATCACATACTGTTGCTTAAAATTTTAGAAGTGATTTTTTTGCCTACAGCATATGAAAGTAAAACGAGACAAAGATTTATCTTTTTGGTCTGAATTCTATAAATTGGAAAAACCCACACCCACAACACACTTTGTGGTAGGTGGCTAGGCATTTTGTAGTCTTAGAGAGCTGGCCAGTGTCAGTAAAATGGCTAATTAATGGAAGAACAAAAGGACTTTAAGAGGTCATCAGTTGGATCCACTCTCCTTTACTTTCTAAAATGGGAATTTCCTGTAATTATTGTAAGGACAGAACTTGGACAGAGTTCCTGCAATTCTAAGACTCTGATATATCGACATAAGGTGGTGGTGTTCACAATGGAATTCTGTCTATATAGAAGAAGGCCCTCCATTATTTTTTTGGTAAAAGAAATTTGTCTATATGTTACTACGTTATATGGTTTCATCTTTACAATTGAGCCCTTACAATCCCAGCATATTTCCCTAGTTTATTCATCCTCCTACACAACTGTCATACTCAGACTTACACTATTGGGCTTTAAGGCCAAATACCTCCTCCTAGTCGTCACACTATGCTAATATGACTTTTCATTTCACTTAGGAAACAGCACTCAAAAGAGGATCCACAGGCTCCCAGGGATCACCCTCAATTCCCTAGGGGCCTGTGAACTCTTTCCTGTCCAGATAGGTAATGTGAATGATCTATGGCTGATACAAAGCCAGTCTCTTGCTCTTTCACTGGATTCTGTGAACTCCTACTCAGCAACACTACTCTAGTGACAGCCCTCTTGTCATTAACTTGTTCTTCTTGACTGGATCATTCCTATCATGCAAACAAGCTTCAATATTTTTTTATCTTCAGTTAAAAATGTGTTATACTTCCAACTTCTCTGCAATCTATTTCTCTTTATAAGTGAACTTACCAGAAAAAGTTGTCCCTTCCCAACCACCAATTCCTTTACTTTTACTATCCAGGGAGGCTGTAGCCCACTACTGCTTGCCAAGGTTCCCCATGGCATTCTCCTTACTCTGTGTTCATGCTGACCCACTGGCAGCATCTGATGTCATGGGGGCCGTGCTCTTTATTGATACTTGCTCTTTCCTTGCTTCCAGGACACCATCTCTTAGTTTGTCTCTTCCCCATTGCTCAATACATTTTAGTCTCCTTTGCTGGTGTCCCCTTCAAGATTCCTTGACCTTTACATACTGAGTACCAAAGACGATGTTCAAACCCACACCTCATGACACAGCCTCACAGCTTTCAATACATTTCCTTCTAAATCCCAAACTGCTTTATGCCACTTGTTTATTAGATATGTTCATGTGGATGTTTAAGACATCATGTACTTAATGCATGCAAAACCAAATTACTGCTATTTGTCCCCAAATGCTGTTCCTACTCATCTTCCCTATCTCACTGCAACAATTTCATTCTTTCAGCTCCTCAGGACAAAAACCTCGATGTTGTCTTAAGTTTTCTTGTCTCTTCAACCCCATGTCTAATCGATCAGGAAATCTTACTGTCTCTACCTTCAACATAACCTCACAATCCACAACCTTTTCACCATTTCACAGCTGGAGACCCGCACCAGTCCACCCTTGCTCCTTACAGGACGGCACAGCCCTCTCTCTGGCCAGCCTCTGAGCTCCATATGCTTTTATTTATTTATTTTTTTTTTCATATTTAAATACATTTTATTAGTAGTTGTTTTACAAATTTTTGGATTTTGCGTGGCATTTTCTTTTTTTTTT